CAGCCAAAGTATAATCTTGGAAACATCCTGCCTAAATTTAGTCTATCTTGAGAACAGATTTGATAAATTGAACACTAATGACTGAAGACCAGGAGACTTGTGGGATGACATCAAGGACATCATACATGAAGAAGGAGGTCATTAAAAAGACAGGAAAGAAACAAAAGACCAAAATGGATGTCAGAAGAGACGATGAAACTTGCTCTTGAGCAGAGAGTAGCTAAAGCAAATGGAAGTGAAAGAGCTGAAGAGAATATTTTAAAGGGCAGCTTGAGAAGACAAGGTACTTAAGTATTACACTGAAATGTGCAAAAATTGTTACTAAATTAATGTTATTAAAGCAACTATCCTACACCCAGCTGTCAGATGATAGCTGCACTTTTAATATGGTAGCTACTAGCCTTTTGGTTACTTACATTTAAATGTTTAAACAATAAAAATGCATTGCCTCATTCCATGTTTCTACTTGCTTTGGCCAAAAACCTGGAAATTGTCCTGTATTCTCTCATGCTCACATTCAATCAATTAGAAAATCCTTTTGGTTTAGCCTTTCTTTCTTTCTTTCTTTTTTTTTTTTTGAACTGTGTCTTCCTTTTCTTTAGTGTTATTATGATGGTCACTCACTTTTGGCATATTTCATATTTTAATGTAAATTTTCTATTAATTTCCTTTTTAAAAACTTTTTATTATAATTTGGGTGAAAGTTTACAGAGCAAATTGATTTTCTATCCAACAATTCATACACATTTTGTTTTGTCACACTGACAGTTTTGGGGGGGGCGGGAATCATTGCACCAGTCATGCTAGCCACGTTGTGAGTGTGTAATAGCCATGCATGACTAGTGGTTACTGTATTGGGCAGTACAGATATACTACCCGAGAAAGATCTATGGGACAGTGCTGGTCTGTAACTCCATTGCAGACTGAACTCTCTCTCTGGCTCCCCACCTTTTGCTAATTCCTTAGCATGGCCTAAAGAGCCCTTTGAGACCTGACCTTGCTTATCCTTCCAGCTTCATCCTTCCCCCATGTACTTTAGTACCAACTGGCATCCTAAACCACCCAGGTGTCCCTTAATACACAGCACGGTTTCACACATCCGAGCACTAACTCATACTAGGAATGACCTCGCCTGGCTCCCCACTTCCATCTAACCTGTTCCATTCATATTCATCCTTATTCATCAGGTGCCACCCCACTGGAAAGTCTTCTTTGAAAACCACTTTCTCAGACTGACCTCAATTATTCTCTGTCCCTTTGTCACACCCTCTGTGCAGACTAAATTATTCTACATTGTAGGTGGTTTTGGACTGTATGTCTCCGCTAGTCATAGTCAGGAACTATGCCTTTTTCACCCTATAAATCCAGGGCCTAGCACATGTCTTGTGCATACAGGGTGCACAATAAATTTTATTGACATGAATTACCTAATTCCCTGGGTCTCTGGTAGCGTAGTGCCTAAAGCACTTGACTGCTAACCAGAAAGCTGGCAGTTCAAACCCACCAGCCACTCCTCGGCAGGAAGATGGGGCAATCTACTTCCATAGCGACACTGCCTCGGAAACCCAAGGAGGGGTCGCTATGAGTTGCGTCCAATTCGATGGCACATAACAACAACAACTAGAGAACAGTGCAGGAGAAGTCAAGTCATTTTCCTCGCTTTAAAAGGGAAAGGGGGACTCATCACACCACCCTCCCCCTCCCCTCTTGAGGGGAAACCTGAGAACAGTTCTTGAGGGGAGAGTCCCTTTTGTTGTTGGTTGCTGTTGAGTGGATTCTGATGCATGGCAACTCCATGTGTGCAGAGCAGTTCTTCACAGAGTTTTCAAAGTCGTGGCCTTTCAGAGGCAGATCACCAGGCCTGTCCCCTCAGGTGACTCTGGGTGCTTTTGAACCACCATTTTGGCTAGCAGTTGAGCCATTTGCACAACCCAGGCATTCAAAGGACCCTAGAGGTAGAGCAATTAACTGAACAGGGATGGGTATGTAGCCTGTCAAAAATGCCTGGGGAAGGAGGAAGACTGTAGCTTGCATTCATCTTACAGAGTTAAGACCAGGTAATAATTCATAGGAGGCAGAATGTTCCCTATAAACAACCTTAAATGGGATTTTAGCTCCTCATTAGGGGAACACATCTCTCCTGCTTTTCTAGGAAGGAGAGGGAAGCACTCATCAGGCACATGCCCATGTAATGATATCCCTTTAGCCAAGAGCTGAGCAGTTTAATCATGCGGGAGTGGGGGTTACCTATTCTTCTAGGCCCAAGTCAATGTCTCAGGCAAGTGGCAGATCAGGAAGGAATGGGTCACTGGAAGGTAAGAAGTCCCAGAGAGTCCAGGAGGCCTGGGGAAGTTCTGAGAGAGAGGAAGAGGAGGAGGAGGAACATGGAGAGCCCTTAGAGAAAGGAGAGTCTAAAATTCAAAAAAGCCACTGGGTACGGGCAGGCAAGAGAAGAGGAGGATACCAGTGATAAGAGTAATGACAACCACCTTATGAAGTACCTGTGTGCTCACAACAATGCTATGAGCAGGTGGTCTAACTTCATCCACTGGGCAGATGAGGTCACTGAGGGCAAGCAATTTTCAAGGCCATCCAGCCAACAAGTGAACCCAGCTCTGACCCCAACCCCCATCTCTTAACTTTGACTATAAAATCAAGTCCTATCTTGGGGTTACATTCTAAGTCAGAACAGAGTCGCAAATAACTCCTGAATGACCCTGAGCACGGAAGGTGAGAGAGTAAGCAGGAGCCGTGACTGACTAAGGGCTCAGCAGATTTATGCCTTCCATCTCACACTCACTCGAAGGCCTAGTTTTGCTGAGAAGACTTGTGCACAGAATTGGCTGCTGAAATTATCATTCTCTCCCTTTCTTGCCAAACATGTACAGCTGAGTTCACATAAGTTAACGTGTGTGTGATGGGAATCTATCTCCTGCTAACAAAAGCCAAGGCATGTGGAAAGGATAAAACTCTCATGACTTGAAGTTCTGGGCACAGCTCCAGGCTCTTTAAGTATATTATTTTCTTCCCAGAACCAAGTCTGTGAGGTAGGTTTTGTTAGCACAGAATGCCTGATGAAACAAGTAACTTGCTGCCTGTCACATATCTAGAAAGTGGCTCAGCTGGGATCAGAACTGAGTCCTATACAACTTCCAAATCAGGGCTCATTTTATGATACCCAAAAGAGGCTGATGCCAAGGCTGAGGGGCACTGTGGAGTCCACATTCTGAAAATGTCAGGGCTGCTTTTCAGTTTGAAGGCTGCCCGTGGAGAGAGGAAGAAAGGGCGTGGGGTGGGGGACTCTCTTCCCCCCAGAGTTCTTCCCAACTCTCATAATGTAAGAAGGAAAACTGGAGAAGCTACACCCAGGAAACCCCAATTAATAGAGCTCTACCCTAGGTTGAGTCCCTTGTTGGTGTAGTTAACATGCTTGGCTGCTAACTGAAAGGTTGAAGGTTAGAATCCACCCAGAGCTACCTCAGAACAAAGGCCTGACAATCTACATCCAAAATCCTGCCACTGAAAAACCTCTGGAGCATATTTCTGAAAAACATGGGGTCACTATGAGTAAGGATCAACTCGATGGCAACAGGTTAATTGGACCTGGGGCTGGCTGGCTCTGAGGTATCTGAGGAGCCTTCCCTTGGTCCACAAAAACCCAGGAGGTATATATACATTAAGCCTCCTGCACTATATAATCAAAAATTCATCCAATTCTGGAAAACCCAAAACTGTGTTAATTTCCTCATTCTTTGAAATGCATTAGTTAACCTTCCCAGAGTAAATTTACCATTCTAGTTATGATCTAAGGAGCTCTGGTAGCACAGTGGTTCAAACATTCGACTGCTAACAAAATGATCGGTGGTTCACACCCACCAGTTGCTCTATGGGAGAAAGAGAAGGCAGTCTGTTTCGTTAAAGATTTACAGACTTGGAAACCCTATGGGGGAGTTCTACCCTATCTTAAAGGATCACTAGGAGTCGGAATCAAATCACTCATAGTGGATTTGGTTTGGTTTGAGTTATGATCTGCATAGACCAACATTAAAAAACAAAAATATAATTACTTCTGACCAATTGAAAATAGACATAACATAAAACTCTAAAGATGACTGAGGAAAGTGTCTGGCATTGAAATGTTCCACAAGAAATCCAGTTAATAGGCCACTGGTTCCTAGATAAGAAATTATGAACTCCACAAATTGAAGATTTCAAAAACACAGTCATCACCTTCCATTAAAAAAAACAAACTGAAAAACAACCAGTTGCTGCCAGGTCAACTTTGACTCAGCGCAAGCCGTGTGTATCTAAATAGAATAGGGTTTTTGCAGGGAGTTTTCAATGGCTAATTTTTCAGAAGTACATGTTGTTTTTGTTGTTATGTGCCATCGAGTCAAACCCGACTCATAGCGACCCCTCCTTGGGTTTCCGAGGCAGTATCACTACGGAAGTAGGATTGCCCAACCTTCCT